GAGAGGGGGAGAGAGGGAAAGGGGGTGGGGGAGGGAGGGAAAGCACAGGTATGTTTGGGAAATTCCAAATACAATCTATTTTGCTGTAACTCCCTAACAGTACTCCTGAAGAAATCTTTTATTTTCAAAAACCCTATTATGAAAATAATCATGTCAATAGAAAAGCGAGAGTTAGGGACTAGAAAGTTTGAGATTTGTAACAATAATTTTTCATACAAAAACTTAGTAACAGTGATAGTCATTAGGAAAAGGACTAGGGTTGCTATTCTCCATCCACATTTGTATCATTATAATGTCTAACAATGAGCGTGTCTTTTATAATTAAGAAAATTAAATTGAAAAATGTGGTACATACAGTGTAATGTGCTACATAAGTGAGTAATCGGTCATGTTGCATCAATTTGGGTTCTAAACATGCAATGAGAGACATGCTGTTAGTCTGGTACGTCTGGGTCATAGGGCATGAAGGTGTATAATGATTTTGCAGAGTGGCAAGGAAGAGATCAAAAAAGGGCTTATAGTTTCTACTAAAGAAAAACTTTTTAAAAAAAATCCTGAGCACAATGGAAATCCACTAGTTTATTTGAAACAAGAAAACAACATTAATTTCATATTGGGATATTGATGTATTCAAATACTTCGCACAGTTTCCCAGGCTACTTACATACCTACATCCGCACCCTTTTCTAACCAAATAGCACTGAATGAACACTGTTAGGAACTCAATTAAGCATTTATTAAGTACCCGCTTTTGATAAAACTACTCTGTTTTCAAATGATGAAAGCTGTGATTCCTTTTTTTCCCCATGTTTAGATACCAATATTTGCCGTGAGGTCCTTCTTGACAAGTCTTTCCTCAGAAGTTACTTATGGATCTGTCAAAATCCCCCAAATGTTTCTTTGAGTATTATTATAGGCTCTAGTGAAAAGCATATACACTTCCATGTATGGGTATACAAAGTATCCTAAAAAAAACTAGTGAACTAGGGGTGGGGGGGGGGCTTCATAGTCTGTTCCTCTGAAAAGGAAAGACTTGTCCAGAAAAGAAACATGTTAGACCCTCATCTAGACCCTCATCTAGCTTTATCTGCTACAATATCAATATCACATCCGGCTAACTTACAGGACCTGTCATTCTTACCAGATGCCTAGTTGGCTCCAGCACATAGCATTCTAATCTTTCCATGACAAGCTAGTTGTTTTTTTGTGTGTGTTTTTTTTGAGTCCTATAGTTACACACACAATTAAGCATTGAATAATGTTTCTGCTGCCAACAGTGTGTCACTATGTCTTTATTAACAAGTAAGTACATTGGGTTTTTATTTTGAAATAAGCACAATGACCATGGAAAATTGCAGCTCATTAGAATACTGGGATTAAAAAAAACCCCAAACAAAAACCCACTTAATTAGTTTCTGCCCCCAAAAAAAGCAGCCTGTTGCCAAGACTGTGGCTGACACATACTGGTGTTCTATAATATTCTCTGCTTTCTATTAGCACATTTTAGCAACGTAGCTAGATAACATGAGGGGGAAATGATACATTTTATTTTTGTATTTCCATAGTTGATGGAAAGTGAGTGAGAGACTGGACAACTATACATTAAGGTAAAAATTTTTGCTATTCTGTGGGTAACTAAGCTGTAATGCTATATCGTGGATGCCACACAAATTAGTTTATCTTGACCTATATGATTTATAGTCTATTAAGTTTTAAATGTTTTTAAATTTTAAAATCCTGATATAAGCAATAATCTTAAAGCTTCTCCCAAAATTATTACTATTTGTTTCCTTTCCCGCCCGCCACAATTTTGACACATAAAAAATTTAATAATATATACCCAACTTCCTTGAGTATAAATATTTCCTACTGAACTACTTGAAAATTGTTTTCTAAATTAAGCCGAAGTTCTCTACATTAAATCTCACATTATCACTTAGCTAACCAACTTTTCTTCACAAATCACGTAAAAATCAACTTCCACAAGCACAGTTAGTATAAAATTTTCTTCAAATTTGAATCAATGATGCTTTGCCATATGCTTCTATGAAAACTATCAACCCCCTTAAATGGGAATGTTTTAAAACTGTTTATCTTGGAACAAATACTTCAAACAGGTTGCAAGCATGTTCAGTGAGGTTCTGTGGTAGGCACTGTGTACCCCCTACCTTTTCCTCTCCTTCTGGGGTCCTGTTACAGGTGCATCTCTCTCTTCAAGCTTAGGGCATGACTAAGTGACTTGCTTTGGTCAGTGAAATTATGTCAAAGTGGGGCGGCCAGTTAGCTCAGTTGGTTAGAGCGCAGGCTCATAGCACCAAGGTTGCCAGTTCAATCCCCACATGGGCCACTGAGCTGCACCCTCCACAACTAAATTGAAACAACTACTTGATTTGGAGCTGATGGGTCCTGGAATAACACACTGTTCCCCAATTTAAAAAAATTTAAAAAGATACGATGTCAAAGTGAAATCCTTAGAGAGCTGGAGTGCAAAAGGGCCACGGGGGTGTCCAGAGGACACAAACTTTGTCAGCCTTCCTCCCTGAATGAGGACACCAAGAACCAGAGTCCCCAAGCGATGTGACAGAATAGTGTATTATGAGCAAGAAATAATTGTGCTGGTAGGATTCAGAGCTCAGCAAAACCCGCTCCATCCTGACCTCTAAGGACACGCTTCAAAGAAGTCATAAATTGAATGTATTTTAGTTCTTATAGCAGTTATAAGAGTAGAAGGAAGTGGGATCTCTACCACATCATATACAAATATTAACTAAAAATGGATCAACAACAGGGTTGGCTGACTGGCTCAATTAGTTAAGAGCTCGCTCAAGAGTGTGAGCTCTGAGCAACAGCAGTTCGATTCCCAGCCCGAGCTGAGCTGCCGCTGAGCTGCCAACAGGTGGCAGGATGGCTCAGCTTAAAAAAAAAATGGATTAACAATTTAAGTATAAGTTAAAACCATAAAACTCACAGAAGAAAACACAGGGGTAAATCTTTATGAATGTGGATTTGGCAAAGTATTCATAGATATGACACCAAAAGCACGAGCAATAATAGAAAAAAATAGATAAATTGGGCTTTATCAAAATTAAAAAAATTGGTGCATCAAAGCACATTACCAAAAAGCAAATAGTAAGACAGTGAAGCTGCAAGGGTCCATCAGATTAGGGAAAAACCAGAAGCTCTTTGTTGGAATGCAAAAGAAACCAACCAAACAAAACTTAATTTGCTCTCCTTATTTCTTGCCACACTTGATTGCATGATGCTCTTTTTACCATCTCCTTAGCTTACTGCTTTTCCCTTCAAGGTGTTCCAGTGCTCATTTGATCCAGATCCTATTCTTACCAAATTCCAACGGGGGTATGAGAGGGAGGGGGGAGAAGGGCATAGATGGGTGACTTCAACCCCTTTCACCCTTAACCCAGCCACAAGGACTGATCAATGTCAATATGGCATCAACACCGGCGTCACCATCACAGTAAATCAAAATGGTCAGACTCACTGATTAGTCAAATTTGAGGGCTGGATAAGATCTTAGTAGTACTATATTCCAGCAATTTATTTTATTTTAATTGTAAAAATAGTATTGGGTTGTCGGACAAGTCATGACACATTTTTGCAACGAAAAACATAGAAAAAATACGTCATGACTTTTCTGACAACCCAATATTTACGGAAAAAAATATAAACGAAACTTAAGAGTAAAACCTTCCCCTTTCACTATAAATACTTAAGTTTTTTTG